TGTCACAAACCTTCTCTCGCCCACCTGCCTACACCCCCTTGTTCACCAAAACCAAAACCTTTATGAAATTAAAGCACTCCTCCCCTATTCTTGCGACTCCTATCAATTGTTGTGCTTGTGAGTTAAAAACAATTGTTCGGTTTTCAGCTAAGTTTTCAAAGCGAACTATCATCTTAAGTGATGGTACACAAAACACACAATTTATTGGTGATTGAGCTTTACTCGAGTTTGATAATGAACTATTCATGGATCATACAATATGTTAGCCAACTAAAATAGTGTATGTTTCATGAATAGTTCATTATCGACCTCAAGTAAGGCTCAATCACAGAACAAGTTCCGTAAGTTCGTGTACCAACAGGTAAGATTATAGTTCGTACCTTGATCTCGCTTAATCTCGAAGTTTCCGGTTTCTTGGTCTTCTAGATTTTTCCATGATCAATGTTAACATAGTTTGCCTCCATGATAATGCCATAGAGAAACATATTTGTTGGATTTTTAAAGCTCTGATATGATATGTTTCCTGATACAACATTTGTTAGCACACCATTTCCGCTATCCAACAACTTCAGGCTTCATTGCGTGCCTTTGATTGAGTTTCTGCTGGAAACACCATGATATACAAATTTCTTCAGTTTTCCATTAAAATGCAAAGACTTCTCTTTTATGGTCGTCCTGCTTTTGGAAAATCCATTTAGAAACAACTTCAGAGAAACATCAGCCGATCTCTTTCTCTTACCCCATTTTGGGATAAATTTATATCATATCCGATGACTGAAGATCATATAAAATAGATTACCACCCACCTGCAGTGCATCATGCCCCATCAAGTTTCAGACTCTCAGGTACAACCTCGTTAAGCGATATGATTTTCAATGCCTATATAAAATAGATTACCACCCATCCGCAGTCAAGCTATTCTCCATGCCCATATAAACCCCTTCTATTCCTTCCCTAAACTCACCTACGTTTTCCAAAGCATTTACTTAAATGATCAGCCTATCATCAACTTCATTTCTCTCCGACGAACTAGCATCAATGGCCGCCGCTAAGCAACTGCCCTGCAACATTGATGTCATATGCATGCTATGCGAAGCTAAGCCATCAGAAGTGGAAAAGATCGTGTGTATGACATGCCTTACTCCTTGGCATTGGAGAAGTGGAGCTGCTTAACCGCTCCATCGGAAACACTAGCAGCGACCCTCCTTCAGGAGTGTCCTGACTGTACTACCATCGACATCATCGGAGCTTTGACTGATGTTCCTGTTCTGGAGAAAATTCTGAACTCGTCGCTGCCATGCGTGAGTCAAGGAGGATCTTTCCCTGACGGATGGTCAAAAGGCCAGGAAACGACAGGATCTCAAGTCAGGATGCATTGCAGATAACAAAGGAAAAGGTAAGATGATGGAGGAGATGGTGGAGGAGGACGACGACGACGATGAAAGAACCGAAAGCGATAGCGACATCAATATTGGTGAGATTGGAATTGAATAAATTCACACATAAACCTGAAAGCACAAAAAAGAAAGAAACAATACATAAAAACATAGCATCTTTATATGAATAAATTCACACATAAACCTAAAAGCAACGAAATTCATTCCTTAATTACAAGACCTCTTCGATAGGGTTTAATTAATAGTTTCTCATCTCATAGCATCCGTAATAAAAATTGAAACAAATTGCGATGCATAAACGTATAGTTATTTTTTAAAATACAATTCAACTTAGATCAAGAAAAGGTGATACCAATACCATCAGATATCCCCAAAACTGGGTTGTTAGAATACTGTATGATGACAAAAATAAAGCAGGTAAAACCATGACAATCGGAGACCAAAATCAATGGGATCAATATTATTAGTATGATTAAGTTACTGAAAGATATATCACAATTCTCAAATTGCATATGCACTTCACGAAATTACCAAATTACCTTTACATTAATATCGTAGTCGGGATTTCCCAATAATGTTAAAGGATCTGGGTGGAGGCTCATATATTCTTGGCATTGAAGTACATGTAAAATCGAGATCGATCCCACGAGAAAATATATAGTTTGTCTTAAAGGAATATCAATGGTACGTGTTCTCAATAATTTTAACATAAAATATTGCGCTCCATGATCCCTCAATTGTTAAAAAGGGCAAACTTGGCTCCTATTTAATGCCCTAAATCTAAGAAGAATGTGGAACAAATGAAGCTTATTCTTTATGCTTCAGTTTTTGGGAGCTTGATGTATACACAAGTCTTTACTCGTCCCCATATTGGCTAAATCAATGGCATGCTTGGTCGATTTCAAACCAATCTTGCTAGACTATCGCAAAACTACCAAGAAAGTTTTATGATATCTACATGGGACAAAATAATAAGAGTGCATATATATATATTTATGCAATCAAGTAGGCCTATATCATGGAGGAGTCATAAGGAAGAGATCATTACTACAATATCTAATTTGATGGCATAATATGTAGCATGTTATCACACAACGTACCATGCTATGTTGTTAAGAGATCTCATTAGTAGACTCAAAGCTACAAATTCTTTCAAAAGGCTGCTAAAATTGATTGTGATAAATAGTGATAGTGTTATGTTCTAGAATAACACTGTTCAAGCGGTGCTCGACTTTAAGTACGTATTTGTTCAAGAGAAGATGGAAGAAAAACGATCAATGAATGCATCGACTGTAAGTACTAAAGAATTGCCACCTAAAGTATTCCTTCAACATTTCCTTACTTGTTATTGTCAATATTTACTATTTTAATGGACAACTTATGATTGACAAATTATATGAGTGCATTTCATTGTTATGACGTTGATATATGTGTGTCATTGATGGTGATCCCATGTCATTCATGAGGTGTTAGATTGTATCTTTTCGCCTCCAGTTGCTTGGAAATTGCAATCGGTTTCCCTTTCTTACTCCTTTTACAGGGTACAGTCAGTGAAACAGCTTCAGAAACAACATATGATGTTTCTCCTCTCTTTCTCTTACCCATCTTCAGCCATTATTATGCCTTCTTGTTTTCCTTGCTAAAACAGATGAAAAAATTTCAGAAGCTCACAAGAAGCGTTTAAACTAAAGCTTTATCAAATATTGGGTTTGAGGGCTGTGGGTTTGGCGGAAGACAAGAGTCAAATATTGGGTTTGAGGGCTGTGAGCTAGGAGTGCTAGTATAACTTTGATATATTGTTGAATTCATGGCCATATTTGACTTAAATAATAACTGCTTAGTGAAAGTGCAACGTGTATAATTGATGGGGATCCCATGTCGTTCATGATGTATTAGATTGTATCTTTCTGCCATAGCATTTTGCTTAGTCTTGATGAATTGAATAGATTAAGGGGTTGCTCGATTCATTTTCCATTAAAACCTTTATAGTCATAAAGTTGTCTATACGATATTAGATAAATTATTGTTCGGTGAATATCAAAACGGACTATTTTTTACGGCTCAGTCTGTCTATATTTTTTCTTGAATAAAATAACAATTTAAAAAATGTTATAATCAATTTTCAAAACTGAAACATCAAGAACGCACAGAAAGAATTTGGTTATAAATAAGCAAAAACAAAACAATTTAGATGCATAAATAACAAAATTGGTTATGAGAAACAACCTGCACCCGTAGAAATTAGGAGAGATTCCACGTTCTTTGATCATATAGGCCTTCTGGAAACTGATTTTTATGCAGGAACCCAATTTTTGATTATGGGGAACTTGCTCGTTTTGCCGCTTTGGAAGCCTACAGATGAAAATTCCATGAGTTCACAAGAAAAACATATCACCATTTAATATATATATATATAGAGAGAGAGAGTTGGGTTCACGTGAGACCAACGGAATTTTCTTGAGACCCGTAATACCAATTTATGTTCATTGATCAACTTTATAAGCTAATAATCTAATGGTCTAAAGTTGCACGGTGACAATTTTGTGATTATTGAGAAGTCTCGTGACGGTTATGAATGTTCAGATTATAGATCTAATCCAAGGGTTGAAAATTGGTCTTACGGGTCTCACGAAAAACCCCTTGGTCTCATATGATCCCAAGTCTATATAATATATATAATATCTACCTTCAATTACCTTCATTGACCTATTTATGTTGCAATGATTGAAACTATAACAAATTCATATATATAAAAGTAATTGAAAGTATGTAGAAGTTCGTGACGATAAGTGAAAATGAAGATACAAGTGAGGATTAAGGTTGATGACGGTAAATGAAGGTAGTCATAGGTCCATGTTTTTGGTTTGCGATCAATTAAATGTAATTGATGCTTTTTACCATACACTATTGGCCCAACGGTCAGATGTAATCAACAACAATCGGAATGGCAGATGTCTCATTTTAGAATAGCGATCACTTAGCATGACATTATCTCTTCATCTTATTATCATCATTTAATATTAAATTGAGTTTATAAATATATATACTTGGGATCATATGAGAATAAGAGTTATCATGAGAACGTGATAACAAAACCTTCATCTACCTTAAATTATATTCTACTACCTTCATGACATATTCTTATTACAATGACCGAAACTTATCTACCTTAAATTACCTTCAACTACTTGACTGACATATTTCTATTACAATGACTAAAACTTATCTAACTCATGAAAAATATACAAAAGTTTGTGAAGGTGAGTTAAAATTGAACATAAAAGTGAAGATTAAGGTAGTAGAAAGGTAATTAAAGGTCCATAAATTTTATTAGACGCCTCTAATTATGCCCGTATTTATAGTATTGTAATTAGTGTTTATTGTATCAATTATCTCCAAAAATAGGAGATCTCTTTGTATCATTATATATTGATTATTGTGAATGAGAGAAGCAAGGGGGGGATTATCATAATTCTACATGGTATCAGAGCTAAAGATCCTCCTACCTATCTCTCCCAATTTTTCGAAAACCTCCTGCCACCTCGAAACCCTTGCCGCCGCCTCTTCTTCTTTGTCAGCCACCACCTTCGAACCTTCCTTTCAATGGCCGATCACAAGTTTCACCCTGCTGTCGCAGTTTCCAACATCCGAACCTTCGTCCCTATCACCTTAGACAATGAAGCCGCCGATTATAACACATGGTCGGAACTATTTCGAATCCATTGTACGGCGTTTCTTGTGGCTGACCACCTTGAGCCTCGTCGTCCCTCACCCACTGCTACCTCGCCCACTGATAAGGAAAAGCAATCGGCTTCCCCTCCTGCCGACTCGTGGGAACGTCTTGATGCCATAGTTCTCCAATTGATATATGGCACAATCTCCACCGGCCTTCTAAAAACAGTAATACAAAAGAGCACCACCGCATATGATGCTTGGAAAGCCATCGAGAATCTCTTCCAAGACAATGAAGCCACCCGAGCCCTCTTTCTCAAACAGAAATTCGCAAACACTCGTCTTGAAAATTTTTCTTCCATGCATGAATATTGCCAAGAGATCAAGGTTTTGGCCGATCAATTGAATAATGTTGATGCCCCGGTTGACGAACAAGATCTCGTTTTGCAAACCATAGCCAGTCTTACCGAACAATACGAAACCGTAGGCACCATACTCCAAAACACCAAACCTTTGCCCTCGTTCTTTGAGGTCCGTTCCCATTTATGCATGAATGAAACTACAAAAGCTAACCAAGCCCTCCACTCTGCCCAACAAGCCGCAACCGCTCTACACGTCCGAAGCCAAACCTGCTCCTCTTCGGCAAATCACAATAGCACCGCTTCGGCAAATTGCTTTTGGTGTAGTGGATAAGCGCTTGATCCTAACAATTGGTATCAGAGCAGGTCACGGGTTCGAATCCCATGGTGTGCATAATATGCAAGGAGTGCGTAATTATGAGAAAGGCATGCTGCGCGGCCATTGACTTCTAACAAAGCTCTTATTAGTGCCGGCAGATGTTGGGGGGGATTGTTGGTCACGGTTCCAGCATCTTCCTAAATCGAAACGTGGCGCTGGCTGCTACACTATAAGGGAAATAAGGTTGCGCCTTCACCAAGGCAATTGCTTTTGGTGTAGTGGGTAAGCACTTGATCCTAACAATTTGTCACATCCATGGAATGCAATTTCGTTTCTCCTGTCCCCATACCTCCTCCCAGAATGGCAAAGCCGAGAGAAAAATACGAACCATCAATAACATGATTCGTACCCTTTTATCTCAAGCCTCTTTACCTCCCTCATTTTGGCATCATGCTCTTTAAACCGCCACCTACCTCCTAAACATTCTCCCTAAGAAAACCCACAAATTCTTATCCCCCACTACCCTTCTATACAATGTCCTCCCCACCTACACACATCTTCGCGTGTTTGGTTGCCTATGCTATCCCACCACCCCATCCACCACCATCAATAAACTCACCAACCGCTCCAAACCTTGTGTCTTTCTTGGTTACCCTTCACACCATCGCRGATATAAATGTTTTGACATCTCTAATAATCAAATCTTTATATCTCGTCATGTCCAATTTGAGGAATCTATTTACCCCTTCTCCATACAACACTCCAATACCACCCTAGACTACACCTTTCTTTCCCCTCCATTTAACCCACTGTTGTGGGATAATGTCCACTCATCACAACCCACTGTCCCACCCAACGCCCCACATCCCACTTCCCTCGGCCCAACTCCAGCCGGCCCTACCGCATCACACCAACCTTCACCATCTCCTCCCAACCATCAGGCCCACGTCTAGCTTCCCCTGGCCCAACCAATTCTCCACCTTCTATCCACCCTTCGGACCCAACACCGAACACTCAGACTCCACCTCAACCGTCACCTCAACCCACCCCTCCCCACTCGGTTCCACAACAATCGCCCCGTACCATGCGCACTAGAGCAGTGGACGGTATCACCAAACCCAAACAACTATTCAACCTTAATACTACTTCCATTGTTCCAATCTCGAAAACTCCCCACCTTGCCTTGTCCACTCCTGAATGGTACGATGCCATGCAAAACGAATTTAGTGCACTTATTAAAAACAAGACTTGGGAACTAGTACCACGTCGCTCGGACATGAATATTATTCGTAGCATGTGGCTCTTTAAGCACAAATTTTGTTCTGATGGCTCTTTAGAACGTTACAAAGCAAGGTTGGTATGTGATGGTCGTAGTCAACAGGTTGGGGTTGACTGTGGTGACACTTTCAGTCCGGTGGTAAAACCAACCACTATACGGACGGTTCTCACTCTGGCTCTCTCTAAATCATGGCCCATACACCAATTAGATGTTACCAATGCATTTTTACATGGCCACTTGCAGGAAACCGTTTACATACACCAACCAATGGGATTTCGCCATCGAGACTACCCTGATCATGTTTGCCGCCTCAAGAAGTCTCTTTACGGCCTCAAACAGGCACCCAGGGCCTGGTATCAACAGTTCACTGATTTTGTCCTTCAACATGGATTCACTCAGTGCAAAACGGATAATTCCTTATTTCTTTATCACCACGGTCATGATGTCGCCTATCTTCTAATCTATGTGGACGACATCATACTCACCACCTCCTCTGACCAACTCCGGCAACGGCTCTTGACTATTCTTGCAGGTGAATTTCCTATGAAGGATTTGGGACCCTTATCTTATTTTTTGGGCATCTCGGTCACTAGAACGGGTGACACACTTTTTCTGTCACAGCATGCATATGCCAAAGACATCATTCATCGTGCAGGTATGGACTCATGCGAACCTGCAGCGACCCCGGTAGACACTCAGAGTAAATTGGCCAGTGAACCGGATTCATTATTTGTTGACCCTACCACCTATAGAAGTCTTGCAGGTGCATTACAGTACCTCACCTTCACAAGACCCGACATAGCATACGCCGTTCAGCAAATATGTATGCACATGCACTTTCCTTGCATGGCTCACTGGAACGCTCTTAAGCATATCATCAGGTACTTACAAGGCACTGCTGACTATGGTCTTCATCTCCGCTCTTCTTCGGCACTCTCCATTCGTGCCTACACAGATGCTGATTGGGCAGGTTGCCCTGATACTCGTCGCTCTACATCCGGGTACTGTGTCTATCTCGGCGACAACTTGATTTCATGGTCCTCTAAGAGACAATCCACCATTTCCCGTTCTAGTGCAGATGCCGAATACCGTGGAGTTGTCAACGTGGTTGCAGAAATATGTTGGCTGCGGAATCTTCTTCTTGAGCTACATCGTCCATTGACCAAAGCTTCCTTAGTCTACTGTGACAATGTCAGTGCCATTTACTTATCGGGCAACCCAGTCCAACATCAACGAACCAAGCACATCGAGCTCGACATTCACTTCGTCAGGGAGCATGTTCAAAAAGGCCTAGTTCGTATCCTTCACATGCCTTCCCGCTTTCAGATTGTCGACATCTTCACCAAGGGTCTTCCTCGGGTTCTCTTTGATGATTTTCGATCCAGTCTAAGCATACGTTCGCCTCCCGCTTCGACTGCGGGGGTGTATTAGACGCCTCTAATTATGCCCGTATTCATAGTATTGTAATTAGTGTTTATTGTATCAATTATCTCCAAAAATAGGTGATCTCTTTGTATCATTATATATTGATTATTGTGAATGAGAGAAGCAAGGGGGGATTATCATAATTCTACAAATTTTTTAGCAGTTAGATCAAAATATGAGCTCATCCAACTTTAGAACTATCTTGACTTTAACTCTCACACTCACACTCACACTCACTGCAACCCAGCCCTACCTTTATCTAGAGAGAGAGAGAGAGAGAGAGAGATTAGGGGAGTGCGAGAGATTTGGGATCGTGTAAGGATAGCAATTATAATGAGAATGGTGAGAACTCTTTTACGCCTTTGGATGAGTTAACGTTTTGATATAACTTCATTTACGTTCAACTACTTTCATAAAATTTAAACTATATTCATGTGCCAAGCTTTAACTATATTCAACTCAACTATCTTCAACTACCTTTATGTTCACTTTCAATCGTTTTCCCTAACCTTTACATGCATTTACTCATTCTTACATACATTAATTTGAATATGTTAGAGTTTGTTAAAGTTTCGGTCACATAACACCCACATATAGATGACATAAGTGACAAGGGAAAAATCACCAAGGATTTTCAAGCCACAAAACCACAACGATGATATACCAAATGGAACAAAATTGTAGTTCACATATCAAAGTCGCACACAGTTAATGAAATCTTTATTCATACTTCGTAGGGACAAAAAATTTCATCTTCTCCTTATGAGAAGCACAAAAGAAATAATACATACAAAACAGTGCATCTCCTTATGACTAAACTCACACATAAACCAAAAAGCAACCAATTCATTCCTTACATACCTTTTTTAATTTAAACTTTTTCATATCATCCAATCTTAAAATCGAAACAAATCTGGACGAACGTATAGCTATTTTTCAAATCAAATTCAACTTAGATCAAGAGAAGGTGATATGATCGATACCATTAGATAGCCCCAATAAAGGGTTGTTACAATATCATATGAAAAAAAATAGGTAAAACCAAGGCAATCAGAGACGAGAATCAATTGGATCACTAATGTTTAAATAGCTAAGTATTGAAAGATATATCATAATCCTCAATTTGAATATAAACATCAAGAAATTAATTTAAACATAATAAAACGATAGATCTAATTTAGCAAATTACCTTTAAATAGCGTAGTCCGGATTTCCTTCTGCCGGCTATGTTAATCTTTGAAAAAATCGGTATAATTTATACCGTTTTACACAATATTCTGAAACTCAAGAACACGTCGTATTTACGAACAACCACAAGA